GTACAGGCAAGAAAAAATTAGAAGGGAATTGTGGGAGGCCTATTAAATACCAAGTAAATATTATGGAATTTCTCCACTTACTTAGGTTAGGGCATAAAGTCAAGATTATGAAAAACAGGTAATTAAAGTATCTTGTATCTTATCTCTTCTAATAGAAAGGGCAGCCAAAAAGGCAATAAAGTAGGAGGGGATCCCACCTAAGCAATCTTATGAATTAATACGAACAGTAAAAATTCTTTCTTTCCTAGAACGATTGCAACAGCCAAAAGCTTTACAGAGCGAGAGAAGCAGCAAAGTAATTTCTCACTTTTCTTCAAAGACTTCCTCTTATTATTGTTTATGGAAGATTTACGAGCTATTGACCAGCGACTTCACAGAAAATCAAACTAAGGAAATTGATATTGCATTCTGGCCTAAAACTGTGGAATTTGTTGCCACTTTTTGAAGGAAGGAGCCAAGCTAGGGTCTGTCTCTGGCTAGTGCCATCTCTGCCTTCAATGCTTAATACTTCTGCTATACTATTAAGCATTTTTGCTCATCACTAAGTCTCCAATATTCTGACATTAGCATTCTTGTCCAGTGACTTAGAAAATGTCCTTTTGGTAAAATATATGAATGTGTTGCACCAGCACCAGAATATTATCCTTTACAAATTTTGGTCTATATCTTGGTATAGCAAAAATATTCTCTATTGGAAACATTTATTCAGAGAGAAAATAAGATCCAAAGAATGAAAAGCAGATTGAGAGAGAAGTTTTTCCAGAAATATTGAAGTAGCTTGTTGGAAAAAAAAAAAAAAAATCAGAATTTCAAGGAGATAAATAGCAACCAAAGGGGTTGGGATACATTAAGTGTGAAATGTTGGAATGAGGTTAGTCCGTCAGGGGCTGGTCAACATTTTGATCTTTCTGCCTAACCTAAATACATACTCTTGTATTATTTCCCTGTCCAGAAGATCCTCTGAACATATGTTGTTTACATACACTAAAGTATGAGAGCAAATCTTGTGTTTCTGGGTCAATAACCTGTAGAGTTTGAAGGGACTTTTCTCCTGCTTCACTGTTTGTGTTAAGGTCAGGACAGGTTAGAACCATTAGGCACCATCTACTGCTCAAGTCAGCGTATGGAGAAGTGTGAAACTTCTTGTGAGCTGTGGTGAATGCTGAACATCATTGCCCACAGCAGTGTAATATTTATTGATCAATAGCAAGCATCACAACCAGCATTACCGGTTTGTAGAGAAATAATTATCACCATTATCATCTGCCTTACAGGACTATCCAGTACAGAATAATACTGTGATCATTTGGAGGTATCTTGACTCATCAATATTGCTGATACATTTAGAACTGAAGATATCCCAGTCACTCTTGTTACTTGCTTAACATATGCAGGAAGGTCCCAAAGAAACAAATATTGTAGTAATGTTCCCACTGTGTTGTGGATTGGATACCCAGGGAAAAATGCAGAATTCTGAGTGCATCACTTGCAGATTTCCCAGGACAGAAAGGAAGTTGATTCCAAACATTTTCTGTGTCTCAAACCATCCACATGCCAACATAGAGGAAGGACTAATGCAGACTGCATACTTAAAAAAAAAAGTTCTTCTGAACTGTTATGTACAAGACACACTGAAACAGTAAGAAATCCCCTTCTTACACAGTCTGTTTAATGACATAAATGGAAAACCGACTAAACCAATGCCATTTAACTATAAAACATTTCACTGTCCTAGGGAGTTAGTCTACTCAAAAGTAATTCCCAGACACCTAGCTTTCCATCCATGATCCCTCCATCTGTGTTTCTGAACTTCAAAAAGCCAAAACTTCTCTGATGATTCATCTTAAAATGCTAAATTGAAGTACTTGGGAATGAGCATAAGATAAAACTCCACACTCTTATCTTGAAATTTATTTTCGAAAAAAAGTTACCACCCAAAACTTATCCAGAAATGACTGCTGGCATTACAACACAGAAAAGAATGGACAGCTAAATTTTACTTGCTGCTATATTCATTTATTTCAGATATGTTTCATTCTAGAAGATCTACCTCTTTCTTATCAGTTGCAAAATATCACAAAATTCTTGCTTAATACTTAATGCCCGTAAACATCCACATTTTTTATAATTTCTTTTTCCACCAGACTTTGTTTTCCATGTTTACATTTACTAGTCTCAAAGACTGACAGTACATTTTCATGGAGAAATCAGAAGATATAAAACATAAAGGAAGCTCTAAATAGTCTGTGAACTTTCACTAGGGGTTTTTTGCCTTTTTAATTTTTTTTTTTAAAATTTAAAAAGGCAGCTTCTGAATATATTCTAATCTTAGAGGATTATCCAACAGAATTTGACTAGGAAGCCCTTAATATCCTTACAGCAATGTTGATAGTCAAAGTGACAGAAGTCTTGCTTAATTTATTGTGCAGTAGTTGACTCTCGTAAATGTATTTATGACTTTTGTTGAACTGCAATTCAAATTTAATTGTTCCCATTATATTGCAAACTCTGTTTGTAGACTAAATATTAGAGAACTATAACTCACAGATAAAGGGATGTATTTAGAAAAGGAAGCAGTCTTATTGCACAGAACATGTAATATCTTTTGAAACCTACTTAATTAAGTTAGAAAATGTTTTCAGACCTTGAAGAATATAATTGACAAGCTTATCTCATGTGGTGAAAGTCCAGAATCTTGGGGAGAAATAAAGAACTATTTTACAAAAAACATTGGACTATCTTGTGTCCTTTACAGCACAGGTTTATAGAGGAAAACACAGAAGTGTCCCAACTTTCTATTGGCACTTATACCACTTTGCTTTTTAAAATCTGGGATATTGAGTAATACTTTACCCAAAAAAAACCAAAAAAAAAAAAAAACCAAACAAAAACAACAACAACAACAAAAAACCCAAAAAGAACCCCAAGCAAAAAACCCCAAAAAACCCAAAAAAATAAACCACAACAAAATTCAAATGTTTTCAAACATTCATAAAATAACACATTTTTTAGGACAGGACAATTTTTACACTGCCATAAAGTTATCTTTATGTTATTAAATAAAAACAATAGTGAATGTAGCACAATGGAAGAGCCATTTAACCTGTGAATTGCAAGGTTATTTTTATAGGTGTGTCCTGTCGAACCAGTACAGCACATGATTTATGGTCTCCAGCAGAGCTTCATCATCATTGTTCTCACCTTTATTTCCATCATAGTTAATTAAAGGGAAGGTCATTGTCACCTTATGTTCTAAACCTTCTTAACATAATATATCACCCTGGGTATGCTTTAATAAGGAGAACTGTGAAGGAATGCTGTTATAGGAAAAAAAACTTTGGAGCATAATCTATCCTGTTAACAATTACAACTTAGATTTACACATAATGAAAGTTAATAAGCAGACAGAATGAAAGCTACATCTTCATACTCATTCAAATCTTGATTAATTGGTTGTGTGATCTCATGCAATAAACAGTAGTATGCTTTTCTTGACTTCAGGCATATGTATGAAGAGTGAGTGTCTAAAGCAAGATCTTCCCTTGAAATAATTTTAGCATACAAAACACTGTGCCAATGGGAAAGAAAAAAAAGAGACAAAAAAGCAAAGCACGTATTTTAAATATTACCAAAGAAACCTCTTTTGACATTTGATGACAAAATAAACCACCTTTAAATTTAAGATTGGCTCAGACAGATTACAAAATATTCAGACAATGAAGACAATGGGTCTTAATAAAGTTTCAGTAGGTGTTAGCTTTTTTAAAATGCCTAAGGAAAAATTTCAAACTGACTTATAATTATCTTCTAAAGAAAACCAACTCTTTAAATCACACATCTGGGGGGGAAAATAATTTAAATATATATTTAAATCTGAACTCCAGAAGAGCTCAAAATATCTTCTGTGCTTCATCTATACTAAAAATTTGATACCTAGTATGCTGTTTATATAATTGGCCAAAATGTGGGCCAAACATACCTGGAAATCAGATCTCCACAGCACTACTGTACTAGCTACAGACAGTCATAGAAAAACTAAATGCTGAATTCATGGCTTCCCAAACATATGTTCATTCTAGAAGACTAAGCTGATTTTTTTATAGTATTAGTGGACTGTATTACAAGCCCTAAAAGAGGCAATGCACAAAAGCACAGTCCTTGTCATTTGCATGTATAGTGCCTCCTCTCCTCTTGTTGTAAACACAGCAGACTTGAACTTGCCTTTATGGACACACCTTGCCTAGCTGGAGGCAAGTTTGCACCTCAGCCAGCTAGGTTGTCCAGGTAAATCATGGACCACAGAACCAATCTGTCTACTGATAGCTAAAAATTTGGCTCCAGACATAAAAATATTGCTTATCAGCTAATCTGGAATTGCTAATTTTGTCTTCCTTACCATACAAACCAAAACTTCTCCATCAATGGAGAAAGCAACTTGCCTCTATGGGATCGAAACCATACTGATCCAGGACCTCCTCATCGCAGCTGCAGTGCTTCCAGTACTGCCTCTAGTATTCATCTCTGACATGCTACTCTGTTTTTGGATCGTGATTCTAAGATTTGAACAGTGCCTCAGTGGTTTGAGGAGTCAGAAAACAAATTAATGGTTGACCTGAGACATTTTTATCAATCTCTTCCAATGACTCAGACGGAAACATCAGAACAACAGATAAAAAATGGTGACTTGGACAACTTGTCTTTGACAACAGCAATACTTTTGAAAGTACATCTTCCTAGACCGCAGAAATAGGACAAAAAAAAGTACATTATCTCCCTACTTTTCTTGACTTGTCTTCTGGCAGCATTATTGAAAGCCCTAGATTGTCTGAGATAGAGACTTGTGAGAAGTTCCATGGAAAAGTCACAGATCAGGTATAGACAGTATAAAAGAAAGCCACTATACACTCAGCACCATGCTGAAAAAATTGTGGCACTTCAAGCAAACATATATAGCATATTCATGCAACAATAAATTCTTTCATGCACATGCAGTATCTTACCGTGTAATTGTGCGGGAGGGTGGGTTAAATACAGCACACTGTATTCAGTCACCACAGAAGTAGCCTTCGCTCTTAATATTCTAATGCAAAATTCTCTTCAAACATCAACAAATAATTTTGGCCAACAGCATAAATAATTTACTGCAAAAGTGTTGATCTTTACATCACATCCTGTGTTTATACAGAGCTAGCTTCTCAGGAACTCCAGACACAGCATTCTTCTTTCTATAGAGAAGCCAAAAAGCAAAGCAGGGAAGTGAGAAGGGATGAATTCAGCTCTTACGATTTCTCATAACCAGTAGTTTGACTTAGTCTACTGTGAAGCTCTCAGCCATATTTATTAGAGCAATTCAATTTTGCTTCAGGACAGAAGCATGCCACAAAGCCTAAAACCAATTCCAAACAGAAAAATGCAGCAAATGAGACCTCTCACCACATACATTCATAAGAGGAAGAACCCTGGCCAGAAAGCATAATCCATAATACACTTTAACTACTGGAAACCTGCAAAAATTACCAGATGTTTTAGTTCATATTTCAGGCCTTCCAAATGTATTGTATTCTTGTCTGTTGTTGTATAAAATGAGATGTTTAGCAAAACAATATCTTTTGCATAAACAGTGTATTGCTTTAGATCCTCTTGAGATGTGAGGAGACCTTGTAAATTTTGAGGCCTTATCACCTCTTATATTTTGAGGCCTTATCATTTCTCTCTTGATACTAGTCTTAGTAATCTTAAACATTTAGTGAGTAAAAAAAAAAAAAAAAAAAAAAAGAAATAATGGTCTTGATGCCAAAATACCACTGAAAAAACCCAGTATTTCTATTACACATTTGGCAAGTCTTCCGACCTCCCATTAAGGAAGGTGTGTGCAACTCCCTGTGCCAGCTCTGACTGACATACAAAGATAAACCTGGCCCCTACTTTAGAAGCTCCTGCTGACTAACATGTTGAACATAGAACTTACAACTTCTTATCAAATCTGAACTAATTAGCTAATTACTAGCTGCATGAATCTTCTTGGGTCTTCATCCACACATCAAAGATCCATAATTAATACAAACTTCACAGATCCTAATGGCTTTGCACTCCTCTTTGAGCAATATAGTCACGGCTCCTGCATTTTCAGGGGTTCTCCATTATCCTCTTTTCCTCCTCCCACTTGACTTGGCACTAATAGGAAAGAAAAAAAAGATTACCTATATTTGCTTTCTGCTAAAAGGACTGCCTGCCCCTTCCACAAAAGCTGAGGAAATGGAGATGTCAAGCAATTAGGTGAAGGGTCTTTCCAGGCATGGAGGCTGCCACTTCTCTCTGTGTTTGCTAACATAATGTCTCTTCCAGACATTATGTTAGCAAACACAGAGAGTCTGCCTCTGAAGGAGGAGAAGTCTTAGGAGGAGCAGCTGTGGGAGCTGGGGTTGTTCAGCCTGGAGAAAAGGAAGCTCAGCTGGTTGCAGAGAGCAATAGGGCTCTCTGCAACCACCTGAAAGGAGGGTGTAGCCAGTTGGGTGTCAGTCTCTTTTCACAGGTAACCAGTGACAGGGTGAGAGGATATAGCTTTGGTTGTGCCAGGAAAGGTTTAGATTGGATATTAGGAAAAAATTCTCCAGGGAAAGTGTTCAAGCATTGAAAGAGGCTGCCCAGGGAAACAGTGGAGCCCTAATCCCTGGGTGTGTTCAGAACACATGTGGTTATAGCACTGAGAACATGGTTTAGGGGTGAACATGATGATGGTGGTGCTTAGACTTGATAATCTTAGAGGTGTTTTCCAATCTTAATGATTCTAGGATTCTACACAGCCATGTAAATTCTTGTTTTCATCTCATCTGAATTTTGCCAGCACAGATTTGTTCTCAAGTGGCAAAAAAAATGTCTCCTTTATAATCAGCTTTGAATAAGTTTCCAAGATTCACTTGACAAAATTTTAGTACCTCCACTAATCTGCAATATCCAATCAATTCTGACACTGATTATCCAATAACAGCTTCAGCTTGTCTTCACAATGACTCTTGAATGAGAAATATGTAAATAAGAGATGTCTGAAAAGAGAGCCCTTGGGATCCCCTCACATACTGTAACTGTCCTCTACTCAGATGAGCAATCCCCTTAGTAGTGTTTCACCCCTCTCCTGATACCTGGCAATAATTCCAGCTGTTTTAGAAAGGAAGTTCTAACTGGGAACAAGCAATTGAGTAGGAACAAGCAATTGAGAATGTAATAATACAGCAGTTCAAGCCTTGAGAAGCAGCAGTGGGACAGATAAGAGGAGGTTTTCTTAACACCTCTTCCAAATTCCATGGCACCACCCAAGCCTTCTTTGTCTCCTCCAGAAATCAGACAACTAAATATTAGCTATCTCAAGGAAGACCTTGGTGGTGGTCCAGGTGGTCATCAGCAGCAAGAATGGGATAAAATACAAACTGTAAGAAAGGTAAGTCCTAATGTGCCCTAATTTATAGTGGAGAAAAGCATGAGCTTTTTGGCCTCAGGGACTTGGAGTCTTTACTTGACACTGGTATTTAAAGTGACAGATGATTACCCAGAGATGGAAATAATGTGACATTAAAATATTCCCCAAGAAATAGAACATTTGATACCCTAGCTCAAAAAAATGACTCCAAAATAATAATAATAATAAAATTATTATTATTATTAGTCCAGCTGGCTTGGGGGGCAGCATGGAAAGTCTGGTTAAGTATAGCTAGTGAAATGACTGTATGCCTAAGAGCAGAATCCCCTCTTTATGCCTAACAAAGCCATTTAAGAATTGAGTAAATGAAATCAGTAATGAGATTCACATGGGAACCACACTGAATGAACTTTGCTTACTGACATGCCTACATATCCCTGCTATGAAAGAGCTCATGATCAATACTGTATCAGTAGCTGTATATCAGTCTACAGAGACCAAATCTCACATAATAAATAACAATGCATTCTCAATTAATAACCAAAAAAAGCACACTCACAACTCACTGATGACCTTCATAGGTAGCAAAGCTTTGTACCCCCTAAAAATTATGGTAGTTTTCTTCCTCCAGCCCCTCACCCTCAAAGCACACCTTTTTCCATTTGCTCTCAAGACTTAGGAAATTCACACTGTTCAAATGTACAGTAAAAGAATTCTTCAACACAGACAAAATATCACCTGTCAAAAAGCCCCCACATTTTCAATACTTTTATGGTTTAAAATATGACAACAATGCCACCTATTAATAGTCTGAGGCTGTATTTACATGATTCTTTAATTTATCCTGATTGTTATGTTACAGAAATCTGCTGGTCTCACAGTTGCCTGCCAATTCAGCATGCCCCTCTCAAATATGACTGATTTGCTGAAGAAAAAAAGTTAAAAATTGTGAAACAAGTTCAATTCTCAGCATTACACAATGGAGTTAGAGAATAGCTAGCAATAAAAAATATATACATTCCAAGCACTGTTTACTATTTATATCTTTATAAATCATGTATAGCATCCTGCTCTATTCATATTTTTACAGCATAAATTACGTAGGTGACAAGTCGTGACAGTCATACAAAATCTGATTTTATGACATTTTTCCACTTGCTGTCTTTGGTATTAAAAAAATCAGGTAAATGTCATTCTGCTTTGTATTTATAGTTCCTATAGAATGACATGGAAAAATTTCAGAGTAGATAAGTCACATTGATATGCATTTGTTTTCCTACATAACTGAGACTGCTTACTTATAAAATCAGTAAATGTACTGTAATCCATGTCTCAGCAAGTCAGCACTGTTTATACTAATTCATATAGAAATCTTGTATACTAAGAAATGTCTATAAATATTCTCTTTGGGATTTCTAAATTCACCTGCCTCTTTAAAAACTATTGCTGTTTTTCTAGTAATTCTGAAGAGAAAACACACTGAAAATATAAAGGCCTATTTCTCCTCCCCTCAAAGCAATTATTGTGACTTGCTGTAGTGAGCGCAGGACTACATAAAACCTTTCTAAGTGGATGTAATTTACAACTCAATGTAAAATGTTAATCAGTTAACATTTTTCTCTGACTTCCCCAACAAAATCCATCCTCCTAAAAAAAAAAAAAAAAAGAACACCAACAAACAACATTAGTTGCCTTGCCTCACATACTAGAAAACATACAGTATTCCTTATGTTGCCAACACCTACATAACAGCAAATACAGGCACACACTAAATAAACCTTGAATTTTATTACTTATAATATGGCAAGAAACACACCCTGCAGATTCTTCAAATTATGGCACAAAGTTATAGAGAAAGTGATGATGTAGTTGTCTGGCAAACCTGAACACTTTCTTGTTCTCAGCACAAAGTTGGAAATAAAACTATTTCAGGGTCTATCAGAGTTAGCTAAACAAAAGACAAGAACTCCTAATTAAAAATAAATACTATTGAATTTGCTTTTCACACTGCACTGGTTTAGCACAGATTGACCAAAATCTCAGTTATTACACAATAGGATGTCACTGTACACCCTAAACAGGAAACATGCAATCATTTTTTGTTATAACTTTTGCCCTTTAGTAAGATTATTTTATTTTATTTGGCTGAATTGAGTCTTGTTTTCTTCTACTTAGTTTTAGGAGGATTTATGAATATTAGGGGCGTTGCTTGTTTGATTGCTTTTCCAGTTATTAATATTTCCAGTCCATAATGCACATTACTCCGTATAATGCATGATACTCTGTCTGGAAAGAAATTCCTGTTCCTTTTGCCCTATGAAAACAAACAAAAGTTAAGGAATCTGTGCTAGCAGGGTTTTATGACTGATTGTCCAAAATAGCGTAGGTGAGACGAACCCAGGATAGACCAAAGGATCTGTATCATGAGGCAAAAAAAGAAACAAATATACCCTTCTCACTAGCAGAAAGTTATAGAATAATTTCAAACTTAGCCCACTAAATATAGTACGCTTTTATGGAGGTTCTTGGACATTCTATTTTAACTTTTCCTAAAAAATAACTAAATATTTTGATAAACCTGAAATACCCCCCAGCACTGCAGTAGCATTTTTATCTCTATACTAATACATTGTTTGAACTCATCTGCATACATATTTTCCATTTCAATTTTTGTCATAAAGCCATCAAGCTCTTTTTGAGGCCAATGAAATATTTCTTAAGTACCTGCATGAAGGCAAAACTCATTGCTTAACACATGCTACTAACCTTTTATGAAACAAATCATTTATTATGTTGTAAAAATTGCAAGGTGATTCTTGTATCTCTCATTTTCCGCTGCCAAAGAGCACTTTAATGGCATACTCTATGGGAGCTTGCAAAGGCACAGGCAAACATGCAGAAACTACTCCAATAATAGGAGGCCAAAAGATAAGATCTCTTACAAATCTATGCTGCTTTACTGTAGGCTTTTCAATATGCCTTAGCAAAGAACCCTTTTTAAATCTTTCAACAGGTTATTTCTGCCCTTTCATTTCAGCCAATGCTATTCCAGCCTCCCAGCATGTTTTTCAGAGAATATGCTGGAACATATCTAACAGCACACATCACTGTGTTTTTTAGAAGACAGTTCCTATTGAGTAAGGAAGTACCTGGGAAGAAATGCATTAAGTAAATGCAAACGAAACTAGTAATGACTATGCAACACATTAATCTGAAAGAACTACTATCAATATCTGATGTTAATTCTGTCTCAGAGGAGCACCTTCTTGTATGACTACCATATGCTTTTATCCTTTAAAAATGTCTGCTCTCTCTAGTGCCTATTAGGAGGATTTCTCCCAGGCCTTGTGATCATGTTTCAAACCACTTATACTCTTGGACAGCCAAGGGACTGCATTTGCTCTATCAGAAACCTAATGCTGAATACTCAATACT